TCAAAATATATCAAAACATCATATACAGCGGAACTCAAACATAAATCAATGTTTTCCTCGTAAGGGAACATCAGTAAAATAACCCAATGATATACAATCAACTCAAGGAACCCAACCCGATGTTACATATCAGAGCAAGACACTCTAAATTAACCATAAAGGCTAACAACTCTAAAACTTCAAAATACTCCTCGACGGCGTCCACGGCTAAACTTGCTCATCTGCATGTTACCCACGTGGAGTTAACATTCAAACAGGAAGGGTGAGTAAAACAATTCATAATAATCAATGTATAACAATTAATGCATAAACAGCATATTACTCATAGTTATTTTCAACACATTGATGTCCTTCAAATATGCCTCAAAGGCCACAACGTCATAATTTATACACAAAGGCTCATAAATGCAGATGCAACATAGACTTAATGCATGTGGTACAAATCATCATAGCTCAATGGACACTGGGCCATCAACCCTCCATAGATCCCCATCAATAGGATCGGAGCATGTCAAAATACTTCACATCCACACAGTGGGATTGAAGCCAAAGTAATCGAAGTCCTGAACCGAAGTCCGGATGCACATGAATGCATGATGCACACCTCATAATAACAACATATGGTGCATCATCATTCATCATATTCATCATCATTACACGTCATATCTCATCGTCATATTCATCATCATAAATCATGTCATCATAGCTCATCGTAACAATCATCATCATACATCATGTTATCATATCTCATCACAGTAATCATCATCATATTTCATCAAAATAATCATCATACATCATACTATCATATCTCATCACAGTAATCATCATTATACAACATATCACCGTATCTCACATAATTCATCATAATAATCATCGTCATCACATAAATCATCATATCTCATGTTATCACATAATTCATCATAATAATCATCGCCATCACATAAATCATCATAATTCATCAAACATCATATCATCATAATAATTAATCTCACACACCATGTCATCATATAATCACGTACAAATCACATATTAGCTCATAGCCATATTATCACATATTATCCCATATTAATTTGTAATACTACCCCATATTATCTCATATTAATTTATCAAATTATACTCGCGGTAATCCTCACACTATCGCCTATCAATCATATAAACTTCACAGTCCTACTCAATTTAATTCATCATATTATCATAGTTACCCCCATGGTAATTCATCAGGAAAATCGCAGCATCAAAACATCAAGACATCACTGAACCAGAACATGATTCGTTACTAGAACATATACCCATTTGACTTATCAAACATAATTAGATGTAAAAATACTGGGAAACCAATTCCCTTATCTATACTATGTTATAGCCCTGTTTATTAGCTTTTCAACACTTCGAACGAAGATCAAAACGAACTTACGGATCAAAAGTTACGTCCAAAACGATTTCGACCGAAAACATGAACAGTCGTGACGGACAGCAAAACGCTGTTACGCACCAGAACCTAAATTAACCCAAAAGTCCACACGATTCGCTTCCCAAATGCCTCCAAAACATCCCTAAATCATCCCGAAGGTCATATGGCGATCACGACACAAAATCTATGGTTTATTAGGCCAATCCGGCAACATTTGCACTGCCTAAAACACTATTTTCCTGCAATTGCTCTGAGTGTGTCAGAGTTACTCATATTTAAATATTCCTATTCCTACAGGGTCAAACATATTACAATCCAAGGTTTTGGCCACGAAAGCCTAAGGTTTCCTTTCTCATGTTACACATCAAACAATCCGATAAGGTTTCCTAAATCCATGTCAATATTCAGGGATACATATCATCAATCATAACCTCAAAGTCTATTCATCAATTCCCTAATCCTCCCAACTCAACCCAACATACCCTAAATCATAAACCCCACCATAAACTTACCGAAAGGCATACATAGAAGACCATGAAATGCGATACTCCCCATACCTTAGCCGATTCGCAGCTTTCACGATTAACTTCGGGATCTTCCGAAGCTTTTGCCCCCACTTCTCCCTCCATCAGAGCTATGGCATCATTCTTTTCACGATTAACAAAATGAATCTTAAACCTTCGGAATTCTATTTTGTCAAACTTAGACTTGGGCCACACAATTGGGCTTTTCCCATAACACCCTTACTAACTCTTCATAATGCCCAATTTACCCTTATTTCACTTATATTCATTTTAATCAATAATAATACTAGTATTCTCATATAGTATATTATTAATTAAATAAATAGTCCAAAATGCACATTTTTTCAATAAATCCCAAAACCACCGAAAACACCAAAAATACGAATATTCTCTATTAAATAAATTAATTAAAATATTCCGATTAAATTCGTGGTGTTACAAGTATCAAATGAAGACTCATACACAATACAAGGCAAGAATATCATGTATAGTCAAACAGACAAGAAATCACATAATACACATGGAAAACTATCATGGTAGTCAAGGTAAATGAAATCAACAAACAAAAAATACATACATGAAAAAGAATCATGCATAAACAGACAAAAATACGCGGCAAAACATCGCGAATAAAATATACAAACAATCACGGTAAAGCATCACTACGCCAAAATTGGTTTTTTGTATCGCCTACTTTAATAGCGCTTTTAAAATAAGCGCTATTAAAAAGGAAACAAACATATTTATAATAGCGCTTTATAGTAAAGCGCTATTAAAGAGTACAAAGAATATGATTTTGATAGCACTTTGTAAAAAAGCGCTATTATAGATATTCACTAAGATAGCGCTTTTCTAAAAAGCGCTATTAAAATGTTGTATTACAATAGCACTTTTATAAAAGCACTATTATTAAAAGCATTACGATAGTGCTTTTTAAAAACCACTATTAAAATATGTAACTACAATAGCGCTTTCTATGAAACCGCTATCGTTTCTATAATTGTGTTTTAAGATAGCGCTTTTTTAAAAAGCGCTATTAAAATGTTCCACTAAATTAAATTAATTAAAATATGAAAACCTTTCCTGGCCCAAATGTTTTTCGTTTTGGCGCAAAATTCTTTCACCCATGCAAGAAAGCACATCTTCACCGCTTCTTCATTGATTCACCGCTTCTTCATCGATTCACAGCCATCGATTCACAACCATCTTCTTCACTTCACTGGAATAAAAAGACGAACCCTAAGACAGCTCACCACCGTCATCCTTCTCCGTCGATCTCAGCCGCCGTCATCAACTTACGACCGTCATCCTTCTCCGTCGAAAGGATCCGCCGTCATCAGCTCACCACCGTCATCCTTCTCCGTCGAAAGGATCCGCCGTCATCAGCTCACCACCGTCATCCTTCTCCGTCGAAAGGAGCCGTCGTCATCATCTCACCACCGTCACCCTTCTCTTCATTGATATCTGGTAATCTTTCTTTTCTCAGATTATTGCTTTGTGTTAAATTGTAAAATTAGGGATTTGAATGCTTTGTGTTGTAAATTGTAAAATTAGGGATTTGAATTTGATTTTCATTTTCTTGAAGAATTGTTGGCATTTCATGAAATATGATATTTTAGCTTTTATGAGGGATTTTCATAGTTTTTCTCACTTACCCAAGGTTGTAACGTCTTCTTTTTTAACTCACATCCCTAAGGTTTCAAACCCTTTAAGCTTAGGTGATTATAGATGAAAAAAACATCCATCTTGGAGATGAAGTTATGAAAAAGACTTAGATGAAAGGGTATGGTGAACACATCAGCTAATTGTTAAACACAAGTGATTTGCAAAAGATGAAATAAATTTTTATTGAAGTTTCTCTTGTACAAGATGGCGATCAAATTCAACATACTTGGTACGTTCATGCAATGAAGAATTTCTAGCAATGTGTCTTACAGGATATCATAGTACATCAGTATTATTGGTAAATCCAAGAAATAAATGAGTTGCACAAAAACATTAGAGAAAAAAAACACTAACAAATTTTCTATAACGTTCGGAGGCTCAATCAAAGTAACAAAATACCTTAAGTTGGATTAGTTCACGTCTAAAATCAACGCAAGAACAATGCGTTAGTGAGGTGTTGAATTGAACTCTCGCATATTCAGTTTTGATTTTCATTTCTACTTGATTTATTTGACTTTGGTGTTTAGCTTTTTATTTATTTATTTGGTTGTTCTACAAAATCACCGGAAAATGAATGTTGTGGAGCAGTTAGAAGAGTTAAGAGCGAGAAACAATAAGAAAGGTGCTGATTCTACAGTTCAGAAGTTGTATCCTTTGATCATGTCTATGAAGGTGAATCATTATTATTATTGTTTTCAGTAATTTTAAAATTCAATTTTTCGAGCCAATTGAAAATGAAGTGATTTAACTCCGACTTACATTGCACCCGAGGTCCTTACAAAGAAAGAATATGATGGAAAGGTGAGTCTTACTTTTTTCTTATGCATTTGGATAATGTTGAGTGTAACCAGACGCAATCAACCACATTGGATGGTTCAGATTCCAATGCAGATTTTAATTTGCTAACTATATTTTCATTGAAAGTTATAGGTTGCAGATGTTTGGTCTTGTGGAGTCACGTTATACGTGATGTTAGTCGGCGCGTATCCTTTTGAGGACCGTGAGGATCCAAAAAACTTTAGGAAAACAATCAGTGTGAGTGTTGTTATTTGCAAACTTTGTGAATCCTTAGGCAAAATGAAATTTAGAAAGAAGACTGGGTTGTTTAGTCATACTTTCTCTGTTATGATGTTTTAATTGGACCTCTCTTGGTTAATTGCAGAAGATACTTAGTGTCCAGTACAAAGTTCCTGATTTCGTACGAGTTTCATTGAAATGTATACACCTTCTTTCTCAAATATTCGTCGCTGATCCTGAAAAGGTATGTAGTTTGTTTAATGTTGAAAATGAGTTTTCGTTTCTTTGGAAATAAATTCCTAAGAGCATTAGACTTAGTTGCGGATGTGCTAGATCACAATGATTGTTTATGTATCACCTTTGGCAATAAATTCCTAATAAATATGCAACCTCAAGAGTTTCCGAACCAAATTCCTAATAAATACCCTTTCTTATGGCCATTCACACAAAAGGTAATGTATTCTCTATTCTCTATTTCCCTTTCAAATTGAATTTCAATGATGCACGTATGGTGTTTGTTGTAATGATTGTGCTAACCAGCATGTTTTTTTTAGGTGAAGATAGGGCCTCTTACTGTTTCTCCAATGGGTTTTGGAACATGGGAATGGGGAAATCAGATTCTTTGGGGGTATAAGGAATCTATGGATGGTGACCTTCAACAAGTCTTCAACATGGCTGTGGAGAATGGTGTTAATCTTTTTGACACTGCCGATTCTTATGGGACTGGAAGGTTTAATGGCCAGAGCGAGAAACTCCTTGGGAAGTTCATTCGAGATTTTTGAGGTTCATTTATCTTCCAAGTATACTATGCCTTTGCTTTTCTGAATAGCCTGCCTGTGTAAATAAATGTGAGTAGGAAATAGATATCATGAAACATGTCTTAGGCTATGTTTGGATGAATAATTATGCGCTTAGAATATAAACGCTTATCATATAATTGCTTATGTATAAGCTTTCTATACTAAAAGTCAAACTGCTTTTATTAAGCTATAAGTCGTTTTACTAAGCTATCTTAGTGAATTTCTGAAAATTACATATGGGTGTCATAAGTTGTTTCCATAAGCTCTCCCAAACACTTTTACAAGTGTTTATAACATTAGATAAGCTCAAATAAATTAATATAAAGAACCTTAATGGAAAAACATAATACACACTATTGAATTCTCTTACTTCCTTTTCTTGTTTATCAAATTGTGTGTTCACTTCTTTAGAGAAAAAAGGGAGCAGAAGTGAAATAGTGGTAGAGAGAGCTTGGAGAGAATAGAAAAGGATTCTCAGAGTGATTGAGAGAGAATGATAAAAGAGATTGATTTGTAGAATTTTTGTGATTGTTGATGTAACGAAGAGGGTGAATTGTTATATAGAGGATTGAGGCTAACTGATTCAGGTAGGATTTTGGTCAGGTTTGTTACAAGTTAGGGCAAGGTTAGATGGTTAGTATATTGCAGAGGAAATTAGTTAGAACTTTTAACACTGTCAACATTCTGTTAGTTACAGTTAGGAGTTAGAATGCTAGTGATTTAGAAGATTAATGAAATGTTAGTTTATGGCATTTACAAACAGAAAAATCAATTAGTTGTTCTTCTACTATTATGTTAGTAAGTGAAGAAGTCGAAACTATGTTGAAATTTGATTGTTAGCATTTGGGACTTGTTATCACTGGATTGTTAAAGCGAACATGTTGTTAATGGATTGTTATAGATTGAACTAAAATTGAGCTACTAAATATGTGTGTTAAAGGCACTGTTAGTGATAAAATGAATTGCTGTTATGCTATGGGCCTATGGCATACAAGTTATGTTGGAATGGAAGAGGCTAAGTAAAGTAGGTTAGTTGTTAGAGAGGTGTTGATTAATAATGCGTTGATGTTAGTTGCTAAAAACGCAGGCTGTTAGCATTTGAACTTTAATGTTGGAATTAGTTATGATTTGAGTTAGTGAATTAAAGTAATAGAAGCTAGTTATAATTGGGATAGTGTGAAGTTGCATTAGAGTTAGTAACTTGTGATAGCTTTGAATTAATTTAGGTTGATGTTAGTATATTTAGTTAATTGAATGGTTAAATTAGGATGAACCTGACAGCTAAGTATGGTTTGTTGAGTTGTGATAAAAGTATAATTGATGAATCAGTTAAAAGTTGATTGCAATATAAGAATGTATTTCCATGAAGTTTTCTATTATGGTGTGTGCATTTTGGCATTGCAAACATATAGTTGCTAGATGGTTTTGGACTGTTAGAAGTTGAATTGGATATAATTTGATGTTTAGAAAAATAGAAACTGTTATAGAAATTCGTTAGTAAATTTGGTTATTTGATGTTAAGATTGGTTCATGTTAATTAATTGTTATGTAAGGAAATTGTTAGATTGAAATGGATGATGTGTTAAAGTGTTATGAAAGTTAGTTTTGAATTCGAAGTCATGAACTAAGTTGCTATTGTATTGTTAATACAGTGAGATTATCATGTGAATGAATTGCTATGATGACTGAATTGCTTGAACAAGTATGGCCTTATGGGACTTTATTAGAATTGTTCATGGAAGTTAGTTACGATGTTATTGATAATGGTTGTGATGGGTATGTTGCAGGTTGTGGTTTACGATTCGGTATCGAATTGTTGTCGTTTCCACCGTTTTGCAACTTGCACACTAAGTGTTTGGTAAATTGCCTCAACCAAGTTTATTTTCCTTTTTCGTTTTTGTTTCTTACAAATCATGTGTTCGATAAATTACTAAGAATTTATATGCTTCCCAGCTTAAAATCAATGAGTCAGATAAAAACATGGTTGGAGGGTTAGTTGGAGATAACATAGGATTGATTGAAGAGGTTATCAAGAAGTCATGTAGTTTGTCTTCCAAAGCTCACAAGTCACCAACGGAACCTTATATTTCTGAAAATTTTAAGACATCCTCGGACTCAGCAGCATATCTTGTTATAAGCTTTCCTGGATCGTGGGTGGAAACTGACTGGTTTGTTACAAAACCAGTTGGAGAAACTAAGATAGATCTTGGTCACTTTCCTTTACTTAAAAGTGTTGGCAATGATGAAACTGCTTTGGTAAACCAAGCTTTCTTAAACAGATTCGACAGCTTATTCAAATTTTCCTCAATTATATCCGAGGTGAGGTACTCGATACGATGAAATGAAATTGTTTTTGAACTGGCCTTATAATTTGATGTCAAGTTTTTGTGTTGTATTGCAGGTGAAGAAAGGTGTGGCAGAAGGAAGCATGTAGTGTTTACAACTTACTCTTCAGGGGCTGTTTTGGCCATTCTTGCAACATTTTGGGCCTTGGAAGAGAATCTTAACCAAATTCGGCACAAGTCACCCATGTGTGTTACTTTTGGTTCTCCTTTGGTTGGTAATCATATACTCTCTCATGCTTCAAACCGACAAAACTGGTCTCGTCGCTTCGTGCACTTTGTCATGAGATATGACATAGTGCTAAGGATTTTTCTTGCTTCTTTCTCTTGTATTGAAAAAAATTTCAGTCCTGTTCTTCAGCTTTTGACTCCTAACGACAACAACTTCAAATGTCAGGATTCAATAAGAGACAGTGTGAGTTCTGAATTTTACTCCACCGTGATGAGAAATGCAGCAACTGTTACAAGGCATGTTGCTTGTAAGCTAATGGGAAGCACAAATTTGTTGCTCGAAACTATGACAAATTTTGTCGAGTTAAGCCCTTATAGACCCTTTGGAACTTACATTTTCTGCAATGGTAATGGCCAGTTGATTGTGGTAAATAACTCGAACGCTGTTTTACAACTCATGTTTCATATTGCTCAGCTAAAAGATTATACACAACTTTCTGAAGTTGCCAACAAAAGCATATTGCAACATCTAGCCTATGAAGCTGAATTGGAGGAGAGTTTGGGAATGCAAAATGTGGTGTACTTAAACAAACTTTGATGACCTTCCCTTGTCTTCTGGTGATGTTCCTAATACCGATATTGCAGCCGCCTTGGATAGCCTTGGACTGGTCAGTAATTTTTTCTTTTTCTTTCTCTATATATCTAAGAAAGAAATGAGGAGAAAATAAAAAAGGAGAAAATAAAAAGAAACAAAAGCAACATGTGGCAAGCATGAGGTATTTGGAAGAGTACAAAGCAACATGTGAGATAAACAAGGGAAAAGGTTATTACGATGCTTTCAAGGTGCAAAAGGAGACAAAGGATTTTCAAGCCAACGTGAAAAGGCTAGTGCTTGCAGGAGTATGGGATGAGATCATTGAAATGCTGAAGAGGTATGAACTGCCAGACGAATTTGAAGGAAAAAAAGAATGGATTGAACTCGGTACCAGGTTTTGTCGTCTTGTTGAGCCTCTAGATATTGCAAATTATTACCGTCATTTGAAGAATGAGGACACGGGTCCTTACATGAACAAGGGTAGGCCAAAGAGGTATAGGTACCCTCAGAGATGGCTGGAACATGCTAACAGGCTGCCAAAAGAAGATATCACAAAATCCAGTTTTTGGGCTGAGGTGGAGGAGCTTTGTAGCTGGATTAGTAACAATAAACCTTTTGAAGATGTCAAGGAAATGGTTCTCAAACTTGACACTTTATATAAATTATATGATTCAATTTATGTTAACTAAGAATTTATTTTTTAAATTTAGTTTATAATAACAATAGTTAGCAAATAAAATTTTATTTTGTTAACTTGCTGCTAATTTCATGAATCACATGAAATGATGTTCTATGTTAGAATCCACCTCAAATTGAATACGGAAATGTTAGTTTTAATATTCTGTCGAGATAAATTTAATTAAAGATCTTTTATTTTGATTGATAACTTTTTATATATTATATACAATGTGAATTTGCGATCTTTAAATCATATATATATATATATATATATATATATATATATATATATATATATATATATATATATATATATATATATATATATATATATATATATATATATATGATTTGGTATAAAAAAAAAAGTGTTTTAGAATAGCGTTTTGAAGAGAGTGTGCTATAATAGCGCTTTGTTAGAAAGTGCTATCAAAATTAAAGCAATTTACCAGTATTTCAATAGCGCTTTGTTTGGAAGTGCTATCGAATATGTGGATTATAATAGCGCTTTGTTTGAAAGTGCTATTAAATATGTGTCTTATAATAGCGCTTTATTCAAAAGCGCTATTAAATATGTGTACTATAATAGCGCTTTGTTTGAAAGTGCTATCAAAATTAAAGCAAATTACCGGTGCTATAATAGCGCTTTGTTTGAAAGCGCTATCAAATATGTGACTTATAATATCGGTTTTGTAAAAGCGCTATTAAATACAGGTCCTATAATAGCGCTTTTAAAAAAGCGTTATTAATTACCAGAACTATAATAGCGCTTTTAAAGCGCTATTAATATTTTTGTTTTACAATAGCGCCTTGATTAATAGCGCTTCAAAGCGCTATTGAAAAACAAAAAAGCGCTATTAAAAAACTTTTTTGTAGTAGTGCATCATGAATAAAACCAAAGACAAAGAACACATACACAGTAAAGCATCGTGTTAGACAACAACATTAGCAACAAAGCATCGTGTTAAACCATCATCATTTAATCAAGGAACAACATAAAAAATTAATCGAGGAAACAAACCCAAAACATGAAAGCAATCAAGTCATGAAAAATATAATCGGGTAACATGGAATTATTAGTAAATTTAAATATAAATATTTAATAAGATTTATTAATAATTTAATTAATCAATATTAAACAAAAATATTTAAAATGATTAATAAACAACAACATATTTTCTATGTTATTAATAATTAACAATTAAATAATAAAAATAAATAATAAAAATATATAATTAAAACTTTTTTGTTTCTTTATTTAGAATATGCAAAATAAAATAATAAGTAATTAAAAAAATAATATTAAAAAACATATATATAGTGTCCAATGTTCATAGAACATATATAGTGTCCAAAATATATATACAACACACATAGAACATATATAATGTCCAAACAATATACAACACTTTGAACCTATATACTCTCTAAATATTTGGAGGATATAATTTTTTCTAAGGACTTCAATGCTACCATATAAGATCTAAGATATTTCTAAACAACTTTGTCATTTGAATTTCTATTTACAAATCAATTATTCAAATTGATAATTTTTAAAATCTTAACTTCACAACATTTTTCTCATTTCAAAAAGGTTTTTTTTTTACTTTAAACTAACTTGCACTATGATCAGTGCATCTTGATGCACATTCTCCTATATTTTTACTTAGCAATTTCTTTATTTTATTTTTATTATTCTTATGTTTTATTATGTTTTTATATTTTATTTTATTTTTGATCTAATTTGATTTTCGCACTTTATTTTTCAGCTTTAGCAGTCTGCACGGAAACGATCATAACTGAAGTTCTGGGAATCCGTTTGAGACGTTCTAATCTTCCATTTCTCTTCACATTATATAACAATAATTCTATCTTTATTTTTTGTCTAACAACAAAGTAATCAATTATGGCTTTATACTTACCTAAATCATAATCATTTAGTAATAATTTATATGAGAAAAATGAGAAACTTCTTAACATTGTATTGGATATTTACATATAGCTATTAGCGTACAACCAAAAACAAGAATAATGTGTTAAAAAGAAGTTGAATGATATCCTAACATATGAGATACATCATTTTGATCTAAGGAAAAATTAATTTCGACGACAAACTTTCCATCACTGTCGGCATCAAGGACTTCACTGTTTTCAGCCCTGGCATCTTTAATGGTGAATTCGTGGAACATTGCAACGAATAACCAATACGTTTTGTAATTGTGATATTCACTATGACAATGTTCAGGGTCGATTTCTTAAATTGTTAAGATCAATTATGTTATTGTTTGTAGTGGTCGATTCTTATCATGCACCACATGTTATGTTTCTCTCTGGTTATTTATTAGTAGTTTTTTGTTGATGTTTTTCTTTATTTCATTCACTTTCTATTTTTTGGGTTTATTTTCTTCAATTTTGAAATTTATCTCCGGCAATTTTAAAATTTGTTATGCTGATTTTATTTTGGTTAATTATAGTTCAGATAGTATTTAATTAAAATTCCATGGTAAATAACAATCTTTATTGCAAAAAGTGGAATCCAATAAAAATTTATGTACTAATCTTCCTTATACTGTACTAGTAATATCAACGGAGAATATAAAGATTTACAAACCCTAAGTTTACTACTTTAGATTGTATGTGTTCAAGTGAAAATGGAATACTAAGAAATGTTGGTATTAATCCAAAGTCATTTATCAACAAAATAAAGAAATGATATTGTTATCTTTTGGTTTCATGTGTTTGCTTTAATTTAACTATGGTTTGTTTTTTATTATGACTTGGTTTGACTTGAAATAATGATCACGGTAGGTAGTTTTATAATTGAATCAATTGGCTAGTTAGTTTATAAATGGTATATTATTTAGTGATTGCTTTGAAGGGTTTAATTTGTCCATTTTAGAGTTTTATAACGTTGTTGTAGTTTTATGACTCAGAGAGGCTCTAGTGGGACTCAAATAGAGAGTATAAAATACTTTTTAGCTCTCATTTGTAATTAAAGTATACAATATAACAAATGCATCTAATCTAATGAAGTTGCTAAAGCTACATTGTCTGCTTTGGTAGCATTTTTAGCAAATCTACCTTCAGTTGGTGGTGATTTTCATTATTAATGCTAAGTACGATTGCACATCAATTACACGATACATTCGTTTTGCTAAACATGCATTTAAACGGAAACTAGGTGGCTCACTTGTTAAGTTGTCGTTATGTATCTAGTAATAAGAATAGTCAAAGATGTGTCCAAAAAGTATTGGGAAAACCAATTGTAAATTTAAATATTCGATATTTTTTAATTTTGTCGAGTATCGATATCCTTAATTAATTAAATGGTATAATTTTAGATGAACATTATGTTATCGTTCAATTTAATTGGGTACCGATATCCTCAACCAATCAAATACTCTGATTCAATGTCATATCACTGTTTTATTTTATTTTATTTTACAATAAATTAAAAGTTTATCACAATTTACACTAAAGGTATCGCTACTAAACTTAGATTCGTGAATATCAAAGAATTTTCATAATTTTTTGCCATGTAACTTCTTTATTTATTTTAGTTTATTTTATAATAAATTAAAATTTTATAACAATTACACTAACGGTACCAAGACTTAACTTAAATTCAGGGGTACCAATACCAAAGAA